CAGAAACTTACGCCTGTACGCTTACGCCCTCTGAGCGCCCTACAGCGCGTTAGCCTTGAAGCCAAACGCATTTCCTCAGATCGCATGCTATCGCATGCGTACCACATAGCTCCTACTCACTCTAACAAGTCTGTTCGAGTATTTGACGCGACGAACTTGAATAATAATCGCGTTATAATAGATACACTCAGTATTAAAAATCTGTAACATATGTAAAATGAAGTATAGATTTTAATACTGACAGTATTTCATCGAAACATGGTTGTAATCGCACTTGTTCTTATGTCCAATGCTTTTTTAGGTTAGAATATCTGTCAATACATAAGGTGCTTTCAAGCAAGAGACAGATGACACAGTGTAATGCTGGATTCACACTGCATCCGATTTGCGTCGTACGACGGTCTGCAACCAATCAGAAAATAAGATTTCGATGATACGAAGCAAAATCCATCGGAATCCTGTTTTCTGATTGGTTGCAGAGCGTCCTACGCCGAAGGTATACATTAATACATGAAACTGGCCAATCACAGTCATTCCATTCTTCAGAGTAATAGCTACGATTGGTCAGTTTCATAACATCGATGTTATAACTTCGGCGTAAATGGAACCGTGTAAACGTAGTTTATGTTTGTTCAGAATCAGATAAGAACATGTACAAGTACTGTTAAATCTGACAATAGTTTGTTCTTTATCGAACAATTTTCAGAATTATTGCACACGGTGCAATTAGTTCAGAAAGTTCATCGTAACAGATAGATCTATTGTTTCTTTCCGAACGCACTCAGATCAGCGGGGCCTAGTTTGAGTACAACGCCATCTCCCAGAAAATCGAGCAACTTCTATTACACACATTTCCTGGTCTGTTTATCAGCCCGAGTCTTCGTTGACAAGCAAATTTACGTGATTTATAAATTAATGTAAATATTTTTTTCTAAGCTTTCAATCTCAGTTCTGTAAACTCAGTATTGTTTGTGCACGTTATGCGGTGAGTGGTAGAGTATCGTTTGGTCCATACGAGCTATAAAACTTTTGTAATCTACATCAGTTGACAGCTCTACGTGTTGAAAAAATGTAAGTTTTTAACTTTTATTCCGATTTTAGTACTAATCTATTGCACCACGACAGAATTTTGCATCTATTTTAACCCTGTAAAAGGATTTTTGATTTCGTTAAGTAAATTCGGAGATGTACCATAAATTAATCTGCAAATTACCGACAATTTGGCCACTCCAGCATCCCCTTAATATCTCGTTAACTATTGCGCAAACTACAAAATGGTATAAGAATTTTCGATTCAGTTCGGTCTATTCTACCTGCTCGTGACACGCATCGCGAAAATTTTCAAACACCCTGTATATACATATAAGATATAATTAAATTTGATCTAATTTTTGTAATCATCAATTACCAAAATATATTAAGAGGACGTATACACGTAAACAGTTGGAATAGTTATTTTACCATGAAAGACAAGTTTTCAATAATTTAACTCTAAATACACATGAAATCTTCATTACACACGATGAGGTTTTCAAGATTTTAGTTAATTTTCATCATTAAAATTTGTGATATATATACACATATATATTACATCGAAAAACATTTCCAATGATTTTTGAAATATAAAAGTAGTCTATTTAAGGACGTTCTCCGAAAAATCCATTTTCTTTAGATTTTTCTGAAATTTACAGAATAAGCTTGTTTTAGTGTTCTGAACATATATA